CCCTTATCCCATGGTACACCTCTCCTTGATATGCCACCCTTATTTCCTCATCAAAACATTTCACAAAAACAATTCCAAATAGACCACAGTCAATGGAATTATTATCAGTTCAAAATCATCTTTATCAAAATTCCCATTTTATATAAAAACAATTATATAACCCATGCATAAGTCAAAATGCGAATCCGGTCAAAATAAACTTGGCCGAACTTCGTCTCTGGTCAAGTCCTGGCCGGTTTACCAAATCTGGACAACAAATTGCCCAAGGCTTTGTCCGATTTAACACTTAGGAATAAAATTCTCAACACTTTGTCCAGATTTCTAATCCGGACAACACTATTCATGCCMTGACCGATTTAGCAATCCGGTCATTTCATAGTCGTATTCCTATTTCTCCGTTCAAAAAAAAATATTCAACATAATATCAATATTTATAAATCGCTCAACATTTGTCCGGTTTAAGACTAAACCGCTTGACTCTTGACCGGTTCAAGTCTAATCCGGACAATTCAACATGCAAGCACGGCTTGGGGAGGGATTTTTACTTATTTAACAAATGCGTCCCAAGCCGAAATATCACAAGTACCGCCTCCAATTGAAGTGGAGGGTTTTTTAATTTTTCATTTTTTTCTTATATTTATTTGGATTTTGATAAAAGATGAAATTCTTATTTTCGTGAAATTAGGCAAATAAAAAAAACATGTTTTTTTTTACCGACGCACAAATGTAGAATCTATGTTGAATCACCATTTAGCGGGGCTACTAGGACTTACCATAGAGGCCAACGATAGACAATAACTCCTTTGAGAATAATCAAAAACGGAAAGTGTGTTAAAAGATCATCAATTCCTAATGAAATGGATGCGGTGCCAGGTGGTTTATCTATAACTCGCCCATACTTTGTCCGGTTTATGGTATAAATCATCCAATCCTTGTCCGGTTTAAGACTAAACCGCCTGACTCTTGACCAGTTAAACCACTCACATTATGCAATTTCCTTTGAAAACTAGGCTTTGAAAATCGACTTGAATTCCAATCAAAACAATCCGGTCAACTCTTCTTCACTTAAAATGATCACTTGAGGTTAAAAAATGGCAAGAAGAATGCAAAGACACTTAAACCCTCCTTTTATACTTTCTTTTCCAGGAAAGTCGGCTATTACGGCTCCTCCCCCTTCCCTCATGCATGCACATAAACTCCATGCCCACATTAAGCATATATTTCTCTTTTACATAATCACATACATGCATGCATACATATATATCATATGCCTTTCACATTATGCATATAATTCCTTATGCATAAAATTTTCACACTAGCATAATCAAATATAATAATTTATCAAGCTGTCACATAATTGTTTAACAAATAATCACATACTAATTATCTTGAATGATAACCAGGATCCAGTTATCACACTATATTAATTTAATAATATCAAATATAGTTTAACAACTAAACTGCATTTGAAACTAAAAATTGTATTTAAAAGAACACACAGATAAACACTTTATGTATAAAACAATAAAAATGTGTGGTAGTTAATTGCTTTTTTAGTTTTTGTTATGATAAATTTAAGTTTATATTTTGAAAAAAAAACTAATAATTATATTATAAAGTTTTTATTTGATATACATTTAAAGAAACATTTATTAGATGAAATATTTAAAAACTATAATTTTTTTTAAAAGACATAGATAAATTTCAGTTTTTCTCTCATATACATAAGAAAAAACGATATATTTTTAAATCCAACTTGAAATAAAAAAAAATTATTACTGCAGATGGATTTGCAAATATATCAAATAAACTACAAAACAAATTAAAAACATTAAATGCTTAACACACTTTAAAGGTGTCGACAAGACTTTTCTAATGGTGTAGTTGATAAAATTATATACATAATTTTAATTATTATTAATTGATTAATATAATAAGGGTATAAAATGAAAAATAAAAAATGCAGGAAATATAAAAAAGGAAAAAGACAAACCACAAGGACCAAAATCATAATTCATTTTGATCATATTTGGTCTAAGTAGGTCATAATCGGTCTTAATTATTCTTAACATGTAATATTTGTTTTATATAAATCACATTTGGTCTTAATGGATCTTAATGATCATATTTAATTTAAGTATATCATAATTGATTTTATCTGCATTTAATGAATCTTGTTTAGTCTAATGGGTCATGTAATATGAATGAATGGTGTATGTCTACATAGTTTGTATACATGTATGAATTGTATGTTTATATATATATATATATATATATATATATATATATATGATTTATAGTGCATGGAAGAGTTCAAACAAAACCAAAGGGCTTTCGGCCTAGCGGTATCGTAACCCTTGACCTCTTAGGAGGTCAAGGGTTCAAACCTCACCAAAGGTGAGGATGGTGTGCGAGTTTATTTCTTGCATTTGCCGTATATAAATATTATATATACTTCAAAAAAAAAGAGTTCAAACAAGAACACATGTGATTTACGTAAATAGAAGAACACTTGTAAGCCTATCATTTTGTTTAAGTCACAGTTTTTGAAGGATCGAAAGAGTAGTAAAATATTAAATAATTATTTGCCCTTTTTAGGAATATCGAAGGCACATAGAGTTAAATGGGTAAAAAGATGCAAATCATATAATGAACATACATATCCAATTATTTTGGACGTGATCATCACTATTTTTCGATTTATCACAACATTATCACAACAAAGTCACATAAAAAAAAGTCTTCGATTTATTAAAGCATCATCACATCATTATCGACAATGGAAACATTGATATAAGAATTCTTCAATGATACTACCAACATTTTTGGGATAGATATAAATTTAAGATGAATATAAATTGTTAATAAATACTAATTTGTTTTTATTTATTCTACTTTTTATAATGGGTTAATTAATGTTTTGACCCAAATTATTTCTATCATTTTCATAAAATAAGGATGTTCTCGTTTGGAAACGTGCCTTATAGTGCATATAGTTATCCATAATGTAGAAGTATCATATGATCATTTATAGTGTATTGGTAAGTGTGTAAAAACATACACTTTAGCATCCAATTATGTCTTTATTTCATTACATTTTATAGTTTTCCCAATCCTATATGGAGTATTTTAGTCTTATTTTATGGTTTCACATTAATTGGAGCTATGATGCAGGAATATTACTGTTTTATGTATTTGATGAATACGTTGCTGCAGTACTAGACATTGGATATTGGCACACTGACTCAATTTCGTTGAAAATGTTGAAAAGTCAAATTTTGGAGAAAGACATCTTCTAGTACTAATAGTAGACGATTTATATGGAAGATGTCACTGCAAAGATATCTTAAACTTTTGTACTATATGGGGATAATCCTTTGAACATTGGTAACACTTTGAACAATTTCATTTTGTCATCAAGAACAAAAGTTCATCTAAACTTTGGATCCTTATTACTTTTTTATATCATTTTGCAAGTACTTTTAAGTGTTCTTAGTCACTGTCAGTTGCTACAACAACCTTTCCAGCTTTTTCTTTACTTTTCATGCAAAATTTACTTTTCACGTCATTTACAGTCAATCATTTCCATTTATGTCATTTACTTTTAAGCAATTACATTCAGTCATGCTACGCTAAATACCTTCGTAAGAGTGTAAGTGAAGGTTGTGAGATTACGCCAAATATTAGTTGATGTTTGCTTGTTAATAGCAATTTATTTCCCTATTCGCAAGTGGTATTGATATTTCATATGACAATCTTTGACAAATTGACACATGTTATTTTATTCAAATGAGTTCGACTTAGAATTAAGACAACACAAATATTTTTACTAATTGTGTTATGGAGACTATAAAGAGTCATCGTAATCTTATGGGTTGCAAAACTATATGGGTAAGAAAGGCAAGATCTGTACTAGTTTGGAATTGATGCATCACCAAGTGCACTTTCAACATATGATCTAATCCGCACTTCCTTGGAAGGCCGTTCAATCCAGTAGTGTTGTAAAGAGATATTTATAGAGCAATATTCATATACTTCGTTGCTGAAATCCAACCTGATCTTGCATATATATTATCTTTTAATTAATGTTACATTTCAGTAATTGGTTACCAACTCCCGCAAAGATATTTTTCTCTAAAGCTTTATTTCTTCCAAAAATCCTTTTTTGAAATCTCACTTTAAAGTTAACTTTTGTTACTCTTTGCATATTAAATCTATGTGGAACGATATTTGGTATTACTTACCATTATTACTTGCTTTGGATAATACTTGTAAGGCAGGTATACTTGCATGATTTACTTGTTATTATAGCCTTCCGAGGGTATAGATTCCTCCACACCAAGATTTTGGCGCCGCTACCGGGGATTTTTTTAGCAAAAAAGAGTTTTTCTTTAAGTTACTTTAAAATTTGATTTTTCTACCATCAAGTGTTCATTTTTAGTGGTTTATGTCAAGAATACCTCACGGGACTATTTTTGAGTTATATCCAGACATTGAAAGAACCTTTAGAAGGAGAAGAAGGATACAAAGAAATTTGTTGCCTATTCTAGCTACTCCTGAAATGGCTCAAGTCGGACCTGATCCAATACCCAATCCTGAGGAGGAGGTTATAACACTTGCAAATTCAAGGAGGGGTAGCATCATGGACTATATACTATTCCAATGTTAAATCAATTACATCCTGTAATACGTAGGCTCACTACTGATGGTGACCACTTTGAATTTAAGCCCGTCTTGTTTCATATGTTACAAACAAATGGTCAATATGTTGGATTTCCATATAAGGATCCTCATTTGCATCTTAGATCTTTTAGGAAGTCACTGACTCTTTCCATCTTAATGGAATTTCTGATGAAGCCTTAAGACTAGAGTTATTTCCTTTTTGATTAAGAAACAGAGCCAAAGTATGGTACAACTTTTTGCAACCAGACTCAGTCACCATACGGAATGTGAAGACTAAGAAGTTTTTTAAAAAATATTTTCCCTCAACCGAGAGTGCCAAGTTGAGAAATGAAATTTGTCTTTTTAGACAACTGGATGATGAAACATTTCCTGATGCTTAGGAGAGGTACAAGGAATTACTAAAGAAATGCCCACATCAAGGCATACTCTACTGCATACAAGTATAAACATTTTACAATGGTCTTGACACCACTGTTAAACAAATGTTAGATGCTACTGCAGGAGGAGCCTTTACTTCCAGTACCTATAATGATGGTTTTGATATTTTGGAGAAAATTTCTAACGACAATGGTCATTGGGAAAATCCTAGAGCAATAGTACCCAAAAAGACAATAGACATTCATGAAAAAGATCCTTATACTGCTCTTACAGCACAACTAACAACAATGACCAACTTGTTGAAATACTTGGCTGCCCGTGTTGCTAATACTGTTGCTACTGTAATTATTTCTAAAGCCTTGCCTTTCCAATGTATGTATTGTGGTCAAGGTCATACTTTTGACCAACGTAGCCTTAACTTTGAATTTGTGAATTTTGTGCAGAACAAACCCTGCCCAATTTTCAAACACCTATAGCTCCAGTTGGAAAAACCATTCTAATTTCTCTTGGAACAGTCCATGTCTAAACCCACTAGTTGTAAAAGAGCAAAGACAAGATTTTCAACGAAATGTTTCTTAAAGTCACTTGCTAATTTTCAACATCAGTCTAGTTTTCAAAACAAGCCAAACCAGCAAGGTGATTCATCCAATTATTTGGAGGCATTGTTGAAAGGTTTTATAAATCAAACCAACTTAGTAATGAATCATCAAAATGCTAACATTAGGACTTTGGAAACACAACTTGGTCAAATAGCACTAGAGTTGAGGAACAAACATGTTGGAACTTTACCCTGTGATACTGAGATCCTTAAGATACTGACCAAAGTGCATGTGAAAGTTGTGACCTTAAGGAGTAGAAAATATCTAGTAGAAATTCCACAAAAAGCAACTGTAGAAGCTGAACCAATTGCTAGAACAATACCACCCGTTGCTGTAGCAACCTCTCCTGTTGTTTCTAAACCTGTAGAAAGCCAAGGATCTGCATCCTTGCCAAGCAGATCAAATTTCCTATTTCTTTTTCCTAGTGAAACAGAACCAAAAACCACAAAACCAAGTCCATAGAGTGTTGTCAAAGGTCCACCACCCAAAGACCATGTTGATACACCACCATCCAAACCAGCAGATAGTGCACCTACCATGCCTATTGTCCAAAATCCTAAAAAACTAGTGATTAACCCAATTCCACCTTATGTTCCTTACCCACAGAGGTTAAGAAACCAGAAGAAGGAAGTTCAGTTTAAAAAGTTCTTTGATGTATTCAAACAATTGCACATCAATATTCCATTGGTGGAGGTAATTGAGACTATGCCCAATTATGCAAATTTTTTGAAAGAGATCTTAAGTAAGGAAAAGAAATTGACTGAATATGAGACCATGGCCCTTACTGAAGGATGTAGTGCCCTCTTATCAAACAAACTTTCCCCTAAGCTTAAAAACCCTGGAAGTTTCACAATTCCTTGTTCAATAGGTGGGAAGCATGTTGGAAAGCCCTATGTGATTTAGGTGCTAGCATCAATCTTATGCCCTTATCTGTGTTTAATACCTTAGGGATAGGAGACACTAGGTCAACCACTATTACCTTAAAGTTGGCTGATAAATCCATATCGTTCCCCAAAGGCAAGATAGAGGATGTATTGGTACAAGTAGACAAGTTCATATTCCCTGCTGATTTTGTAATCCTTGACTTTGAGGCAGATAAAGACACCCTCATTCTGTTAGGAAGACCCTTTCTAGCCACTAGTAGAACTCTCATTGATGTCCAAAATGGAGATTTGAATAGATAGACATTACAAACTACTTCGACAAAAGAAACTTGATAGACATTACAAAGAGGTAGAAAACACTTAAATTTTAGAAAATGAATAGATACCTCCACACACTAAGACCAAAATACCACCTGGGTAGCAAGCAAATTACAGTGGCAGTATCAATACCCACACACATTAATAAGGGCCTTATAATCACTTTGCTAGCTGAAAGAAAACTCCAACCACTAACATAGAAGATTGGCAAATAACTTAATACCAAATAACCAAATAGGCAAATAAACAAATAACCAAGTAAACAATAAATGATAATAAACAACAAAATAGCAAATAACCTAATAACCAAACAGTAATAACTTAATCAGAAACAATACTCCTGAGAGAGAAGGGAATTAGGGCAGAACCACAAAAGATCAGAAGGGAGAAGCCGACTAGCCGACAAGGTGAGAGGCCAAGAGACAAAACTAGAGTGTTAGTTCCAGGGTGAGAGGCTGAAAGGCAAAGGCTTAGGAAATATCTCCAGATGCGTAAGGTCGTTAGCAGAAAGCGAGAACGTCAGATTGAGAGCGTATGTCGAACTTGGTAAAAGAAACCTACTATAACATATATAAGAACCCTCAGTTCGGAGGTCTTCGTCAACATGTTACGAAGCTTCAGTCTGGCAATCTAGACTTTGATGCCCTTGGTCCTCTACTCTCCCCCCGACCTTGTGTGATTCAATAGTAAACCACATGTGCACGTATGAAAGGACATGAGCAACTGGTCAATATGGCCATGATCGTGTAAAAACTAGCTCGTGCAATGGTCGGCTAATGCAACCCTTTTGAAGGTGTTGTAAATCACATGTGAATTAACCATTCTCGTAAGTTCAATGCTTTCTCGTTTCTACCCCCACCTACAATCTATTTCACTCCACTTGTGAAATTAGTCACCTTTCAGGGCAAGATGCATGCGTCCTTTACCCATATATACAAGATGCTTTAGCGATCATTGTCGTGTTCTATAAACTGAAAGATTATTTCCAATAATAAGATTTATATAAACGAGATATTGATGTACCATGGTTAGTGAAAAGGACAGAGGAATCCAACTCTGATACCAACTGACGTAGTAGAAAGTGCGGAAGGATCGACAAACATCTAAATACCTTTTGAACTTTCGAGAATTACGAACGTAAAACCCTAAACTCAAAAAATACACTCAAAGAGATGGAATTTTATTAATAACGGATAATTTGATTAATACCGAAGATAATAATTCCTATTTATAGGCTAAGCTATATAAAAGATAACAATGGTAATAGCTAAGTCATAATTCCAAACCAACTATGAAAGCAATAAACAAATATTAGATAAAGGTTAAAATAGTGAAACGAATAACTGCTCGAGATGGACTCTCCTGGTAAATTGTCTATAGTAAAAAGATGTTCTCGTGTTCGTATAAAAAGAAGGTGTTCTCGTTTGAATTCTTCCCACATAATACAATCGTTAAACCACTTAAATAAAACTAGCAAGCTACTTGCATAATGCAACAAGATACATCTTGATTTTAATGTTCTTTTAATTTCTTTGTCTAGGTCAATGTTATAATATGGTTTTAAATGATTTTGAGAAAACGATAATGTTTTGATGTTTAATTAAAATATAAATTTGAAAATCCCATAAAAATTAGATAAAAATATCGATATCAGTATCAAATTAAGTATTTAAAAACTCTCATTTTTGTGTAATTTTCTTCCAATTCGGTTTCTTATTGTAATTTAATTTAGGTTTAATAATAAAGTAATTTATTTTCGTTTTTTTACAAGATTTATTTTTGGCTTAATAATATAATTTCTTTTAAAAATTAAAAATTAATATTCTATTAAAACTTAATGATTATCCTAATTATATTTTATATTTTTTATATTTAAAATGAGATATTTATCCTGTATTTGATTAAATTTTATCTACAGTTACTTACACAAATCCAAACGGACGTTAACAAGTTGTACGTACGCATAATTTACTTGTAATCTTGAATTTTAAATAATATGCATCAATAAACAATACTTGATGCATAAAAAATGAGTTTTAAGAGTTTTTTGTCAAATAATTTATAATATAGTATAAATATAAGTTTCACAAGTAAGAAATGAATATTTATTACGTGAATTAAAATGAAAAAAAATCATTCTCATATTAAATAGAAACTAAGATAGACTTTGCTAATTTTTCTATATCGGCTTGAATAATATATTTACAAATCTTGATGTTCTTTTAAGATCATGACAAATGAAAACCTGAAAGTGCTGAATGCACTTGATATAGCCAAAACTCAATGGTATATTTCATCGCCATTGTTATCGCTGGTATGGGTTTCTTCAACGACGCCTTTGATCTCTTCTGCATCTCTCTCATCACCAAATTGCTCGGCTAGATTTACTACCACCACGACGGAGATGAAAATCCTGGCACACTGGCATTAGATGTGCAAGTTGCATTTTGGGTGGTTGGGTGACAAAATGGCCAGAAAATAGTTAACAGGATAAATCTTATGCTTATATTCATTTGCTCCATCGCTTCGTTCAGCAAGAAACCAACATTGGTTATGGCCACCCTTTGCTTCTTTCGATTTTGGCTTGGTTTCAAGATCGGCGGTGATTACCCTCTCACAACCACCATCAGGTCGGAATACGCCAATAGAAAAACCCGAAGGGGTTTTATTGGCGGTTTTTGCCATGCAGGGGTTTGGGATTTTGACAGGTGGGATGGTGTCTTGTACCATCTCGATGGCATTCAGGTCGAAATTCCCAGCTCCGATGTACAAGGTGGATCGGTCTGTATCAATGGTTCCAGAAGCCAATTATGTGTGGCGGATAATTTTAATGTTGGGATCGATTTCGGCTCTAATGACTTATTACAGGCGAATGAAGATGCCATAAACCACTCGGTATACAGCCTTAGTTGCGAAAACGAAGAACAAGCGGCCACAGACATGTCAAAAGTGTCGGAAATTGAGCTTGAAGTAGATCAAAAGAACGTGTCTACAAGAAAAACAGTTGATTTTGGGCTCTTCTCGAAGAAATTCCTTTGACAACATGGGCTACACTTGTTAGGAACTACTAGCACATGGTTTTTCGTCGACATAGCATTCTACAGCCGACAACTATCTCAGAAGGACATTTTTACCGAGATCGGGTGGATCTCATCTGCTGAATCAATGAACGCAATTCAAGAAGTTTTCAAAATCTCGAGAGCTCAAACTCTCATCGCACTTTGTGGTATAGTCCGTGGGTATTG